TGGCCTCTAACAAGGCTCCTTTGTAAGCTCCGCACCAAAGAGCATCAATCATAGTAGAACTAAATGCGGATGATTTCCCAATATGACGCAAGTAATTTCAGCCCAGACATAGCCTCGGTCCGTTCCGAACCGGTGCATGACAATGAAATGAGTATACGGGTGTAAGTGTCGATTCCTTGCTAAAGTAAAAGAGTACTCAGAGGTAACGACCAGATAGTATGAAACAGAAAGGCATTAGTCTCTACGTCTCGAGTCTTCCCTTCCCCAGACCTCATCGGCATTGGCCTTGCCCTTGGTCTCAGGCACCCATCCGTAGATGAAGCCTCCAAGAAGGCAAGCCAGTACCGCAAAGATCCAGTAGATCTTACCACGGCCGCCCAATGCGTCGTTGAGCACGGGGAAGAACTGAGCCACGATGAACGTGGCGGTCCAGTTGGCCGCCAGCGCCCAGCTCTGCGTCGCACCCACAGCCTCGGGACCGACTAGTTCAGAGGACAAGATAAAAGGTACCGGACCTAATCCAACCGCGAAGCTGGCCACAAATAACAAGGCTGCTATTGCGGACAAGATTTTCTGGTTGAAATAGATTCCGAGCGCCAGCAAGACAGAGTTGCAGCCCATGCCGCAGATGCTCAGAAGCAGGCAGGTCTTTCGGCCAATCTTATCAGGCAAAGGTGAGCAGGCAAGAGTAATGACCAGGTTGATGGCCGAAATCATGACGGTCAACAAAGCCGCTGCCGTGGGAAGGAGACTCTGTAGAAGCGAGACACTATACATGATGATACTGTTAATGCCGGTGAACTGTTGAGCCACCATGACTCCGATGACAGCAACGATGGCCGGACGGTAGTATGGGTCTGTCACGGCTTGCAGAATCGTAACTGGAGGCTGCTTAGGCGGCAAGTTGCCGGAAGGAGGGGTGAGCAGAGACTCCTCCTCCGGTCCTGTGGGCCTCTCAGAGCTCTTCCATCCTTCAATCTCCTCTTCAATATCTGCATCCTCCCCACGTATCCTCTGCAGCACCTGTCTGGCCAGGTTCGCCTGTTGATGCTCAGCCAGCCAAGTAGGACTTTCCGGTACGAAGAATAGACCAAGGAGTTCCGATACCCCGAGCAACCCAGCCACGGCAAGTATGGCCCTCCATTGATCTCCTTTGTTGAGAAAGTAGCCAAGCGTCTGAGTAAGTAGGATACCTACATTGGTCATAATCTGCGTGAAGGCGCCGAAGAACCCTTTGGCGTTGGGCGGGGCAATTTCTGATATATAAATTGGACCAACGACGATAGCAGCACCCGCACCCACACCACTCAGCAACCTACCGACACTCAATATCGGTATACTGGGTGCTAATGTTTCCGCTACCGGGCCCAGAATAAAGAAAATCGTTGTAGCTCGCAAGGCGAATAGTCGCCCATGTTTAGTGGAGACGGGCCCTGCCAGCAGAGCACCTAGCAAACCACCAAGGGTGTATATGGAGGACACCAGACCGAATTGGGAAGGGTTCATTGGAATACATTGAGGCAGAGTCCTAAACAATGCTGAAGCGGTAGAATGGATGCTCTTTCGCTCGCAGGTAATAACAGCTTGGGGGGCATTAAGCTCGGCCTGTCTCAGTCCACGGTAAGTAACGATTAGGATTAAGCAATCCAAGAGCCCTTTGCACAAACCAGATGATAACCAAATTGAAGCGGCCCTAGTGTGACAACAAAAACGAGATAGACCAGGTATGCTGTGACTCTGGACCGGGTCAGCCCAGCGGGACTCATGATACTACTGGTCTGTTGGTCTGTCGGTGTGACTTTTGATCTGAATCATGTAGCTAGATCGAGATACAAGGAGCCACGAGGTAGGAATTTAGTTAATAATATCGAACCATTGTACTATTGAGATCGAAGATGAAAGTATTCTGACCTGTAGTAGGTGGTCGCAGATGACGTTGTAAGGGGCTGTCGGAGCTTAGACTGCTACCGGGACAAGGAAACTCCGTGCTCACTGTCTAGCCAAATATGACAGTCGTAGCAATATGTCTCCTGTCTACAAAGGAGAGAAAGTCGTACGGTCAGCCTATGAGGCCGACGAAAATAACTCATCAAAACTATATCCCGAGACTAGCAGCGCCTTCAAAGTATGTACTCCGCAGATGTTGGAGTAGAATACGGAAGACCGCAATATGTCAACGACGACACATATCAGTATCGGCAATTGAAAGTGGCCGAAGACATTGCCATGTAATGATGCAGGACAATTGAGACATTTAGCAATAATCATAGAGAAAGCAAATTCATCATCCTAACTGCATCTCTCATGGAGCGAGAGTGACTTTTGCGGAAAAAGCAATATATGCCTGCTGACTAACAAAAGAGGGGGAAATTCAGGGTCAGTCGAGAAAAGAGACACTCAATGCATCGTCGACATACTCAACTGCCATTGCTATTTGTCTTTTCAAACCCAACCTCATCATCATTTCTGCATGCAATCGTTTCTAGTAGTTGTGGAGACGGGCAGTCAAGAATCCTAATAGTGCACTGTCCATGCTACTTCTGCGACCGTGAATTTCGATGAGGAGATCCTAGTACACTACTATATCCACCCCAGTTGAACGGTTACCGAGAGATACTCCGGACCTCCACCTTTCGGGCCCTTTTGCTATTCCACACCAATCTCTCCATCCATGAGTCTGACAAACCAGCCTTCATCATCCGGTCCATTAACTGCATCCTCTCGGTCCGCTGCGGCCAGCGTCAGCCAAAATCTGTCTCTGAAACGGAATTTACAGGCCGTTGTTGATGGTAATACCGGTTAATATCATATTGTCACCTATTTTACATCCACTTCTCCTCCTTGCCACTTGGCTCTCTCAAGTGTTCATCTTTTCCGTCTTCTACTTTCTTTTTACCCTTTTCGGAAATCTCTCATGTGCTACTGTCTTCTGGGAGAGATTTAAGCTTTGTTGCGGATGAAAAGATAAAAAGGCCTTTGAGCTGTGACTGCTGAGCTCCACTGCGGCTTCTTTGTATCTTGCCCATCATGTTTGGAAGAAACTTCCCATTTTTTAACTCCATCGGCGGGTTCTATCCACGTGGTAATCTCCCTCTAAGCTGGTCCCAGTGTCTGCCTGTCATTATTTGCTGCAGGGCCCTTTCCAATGAGTTCATCAATCTGCTGAGAGACTTTCCTCCATTTGACTCATTTGCCTCCTTTTTGTATACCGCTGTTCTTTGCTTTACCAAAGGAATCAACTGTTTCAAGCATATATACTATGAACATCCAGGTCTCTTCAACATGCTGACTCTTTGCTTAAAGAAAGTATAGACTCGAAGAGACCCTCGGGAACTGGGTATACCAGCAAAGTACGGGTCCGGGACAAGTATCACATCGTTGGTTTCATCAGCAGTGGTACATATGGTCGTGTCTACAAAGCCATCGGAAAGGATGGCCGGAAAGGCGAATATGCGATCAAGAAGTGAGTCGTTTCATTTCCATTAATTTCTCCTATAGCAGCTGACCAAATAAGATTCAAGCCCGACAAAGAGGGTGAAATCATCCAGTACACAGGTCTCTCGCAGTCGGCAATCCGGGAGATGGCTTTATGCTCTGAATTAGATCATCCCAACGTAGTGCAATTGGCAGAGATCATCTTGGAAGACAAGTGTATCTTCATGGTATTCGAGTACACTGAGCATGATCTGCTTCAGATCATCCATCACCACACTCAGCCGCAAAGACATGCCATTCCGGCACCGATGATCAAGTCGATACTGTTTCAGCTGCTGAATGGCCTCCTATACCTTCATACGAATTGGGTTTTGCATCGAGATTTGAAGCCGGCCAACATTCTAGTGACTTCGAGTGGTGCGGTCCGCATTGGAGACCTCGGCCTCGCGCGTCTATTTTACAAACCGCTCAACTCGCTTTATTCCGGAGACAAGGTTGTCGTCACGATCTGGTATCGTGCTCCGGAGCTACTAATGGGCAGCCGGCACTACACGCCGGCCGTGGATCTTTGGGCAGTTGGATGCATATTCGCCGAACTGCTCTCCCTCCGACCCATCTTCAAAGGGGAAGAAGCTAAGATGGACAGCAAAAAGACAGTACCATTCCAACGTAACCAGATGATGAAGATTATCGACATCATGGGCTTGCCCAGGAAGGAAACATGGCCCGGTCTCGTATCGATGCCCGAATTCTCCCAACTTCAGTCGTTAGCGATGTCGAGAGGTTACCTCAACAGACAGTGCAATCTGGAAGGATGGTACCAAAGTTGTCTGAAGAATAACGGATATTCCCCAGCGTCTACTGCAGGCACACCGGGTGCCGAAGGCTTCGATTTGCTATCGCGGCTACTCGAATACGACCCTACCAAGAGGATATCAGCCCGGGAAGCGTTGGAGCATCCGTATTTCACCACAGGTACTCCAGTCACTGCTAATTGTTTCGCGGGCTACGAGGGCAAATATCCCCACCGCCGGGTCACTCAAGATGACAACGATATCCGCTCCGGCAGTTTACCCGGCACCAAGCGGAGCGGGCTGCCAGACGATAGTCTCATGGGTAGGGCCGCAAAGCGGCTCAAAGAGTGATTTGCATATATTTTCTCTTTCGGTATTCGAGTTCAAGCATGTGACTGGCGTTTAGGATCCTTCTCATAGACCATTTATTGCATGGATTGGCGTCTTATGGGTTTTCTGATTCCGCAATTTAAGACATCGTCGCATTTGCGCTGAGTTGGTCATTGTCTCAAGCGAATCATTGGCGAATTGCTATATATTTTAGGAGAGGTCGCCTCATTCCAATTACAGTTCGAAACGTGAATGGTAATTATTCTTGAGTTGAAAATGAGATAGGTGCCTTGACGTACAAATTCCATCCATTCCTTCCGTCCATAAGCGCCTAATGAGAGCCCAGTGCCATTACCGATTCCGATTCCTATGTCCATTTCATTATTGCGCTTCGTAAAATATAACTTGATGTCAAGATTGAGCCGAAAGGACGACGTAATCTCAGTAACCTGCTAGGAGTCAGCAACAAGGCCTGAGGCAACAGACATTCCCGAACGAAACATACCACTTTGTTCTTTCCGACCATCTCCTCCCTCGTCCTTCTCGTTACCGCCATTCCCGGAAGAAGCGGAGGCCTGACCAGCAGCAGCATCCTTGATTGGCTTCTCATCACCACGCAACTTCTCAAAGTAGGCCTTGATATCCTCCGCACTGACCGCCGTCCCGGACTCCGCAAAGGGCTTCAGGAACTCCTTCACTTTATCACGGAGGTGGTTGTACACCATCGCACCCTCGATAGCCCGGACACGGTCGATGTTACTCAGGGCTGCCTCACCGCGGTCGTAGAGACTGCCTGTTCCGGTGCTGCCTCCGCCATTGGCTTCGCCATCCTCCGAGAGAGGGGGCTCGTATGTTTCCTCCTCTTCGCGGAGTTGGGGGTACTTGGCAAGGTTGGGGTAACATTCTGGGCAGCGGCAGAAGTGCTCGCGGAAGTTTTCTTTGAGGAAGAGGGAAAATGTTCCGGATGGGGGTGGGTTAGGCAGGGAATCGTGCTTGGGTTTGGGGGGTGCGGGCTGGGTAGGCTCTGGCTTTGATTCTGTGGGGATTTGTTCGCCATCGATCTCTGACTTTGTCCGCTTTGCAGCTGGCTCGGTTGTCTCCTTTGCCTCTGTTGTGTCATCGTCATCCGCCTTGCGTTTCTTGGTGTCGGTCAACGGATCGGAAGACGGATTCGAAGGCTCTGCTCCTGTGTGCTGCTCTTCGGAGCCCTTTGACAGTCCGCCCTCCTTGTAGACTGCTGGAAGGAACCCTGGAGTTCCTGCGTATCGCTTCAACCACGGATTTGATTCGACACACTTGTAACACAAGAATGTTTCGAAGTCATCTTCAGCCGGGAATCCCGGGGGCAGAGGCGTATCCTCATCGTCATTGTCATCCGCCTCATTATTCTGCTTCGCGGCTTCGACATCCTCCGTCTTAACTTTTGCTTTCTTATACCAGTTCCTTGGTAAACCGATCAGGCACTCCGGATGCCACCAATCCTCACCACAGCCACCGGTCTCGACCGTACCCAGCCCAAGACACTGAAACATTGTTCCTTTTTCTTCGAAGGCATTGTAGTCCTCGCCACAGCCGCAGAACCTGTTCTGAAAATTGTGGTTGTATTTGTTCTCCGGCGCTGGCTCCTGGGACCGAACTCCCTTTGCACCGGTCTTAGGGTCATTCCGAAGCGTACAGGGTAGGCCGGATGACACGCGCGTCGTCCCACAGTCGCAGACAAAGTTTCTTTTATTAAATAGCTCGACGAGTGTATGTTCGCCGTGGCAGGCGATAGAGCAGGAATAGCAGACGCCTGCGGAAGTGTGCAGTGCATCTGGCTTATCGGAGGGAGGGTTGCATGTGAGACAGGCAAACAGGATCTGTCGGAGGGGTCCTAGAGCTTGTGTGCAAGAATCAAAGGACTAGATGGCGTCAGATGAGGATTGCTTGTTGACGCAATGGGGAGGAGACCGACTCACGTATGGTAGGATCTCGCGGGCGTCGGCCTCGAGACGCATTTGGGATTCGATGAATCTAGATGATATTATGTGTTAGAACACTGCGGCATAGTCCTCGGCTTTCTTATAAAAACCAATCATATAATTCAGAAGTAGGCTCCTTACTCTTTAGCGGTTTGCGAGTTTTGCGAGCTGAAGCTCTCTCTCCGCTTGCCGGCATCTTGCAAGTCCTTCTGCTGGTCGGTGGCGGCTGACGGCTCAACCGGTTCAGATGTGCTCATTGTCGCTGTCGCTCTTGTTACAAAGCTAAACGGTCACTGAAACAGGACAATAGATATATCGAGCAATGTGTTAGGTTGGACGGAGTAGAGTATGCGACGAAGTCCTGATCAAGATCCGACGCGACGCGGGTGCATAAGATGTTTGTTTTGTTTGCACCAACCTCTACTGCTTGTACTCTCCAAGAAGCTCAGGATTTCGCGGATGGCCTGGACTGCGTGGAAGCGAAGACCGGGGAGATTGTCAGCTGTGGATATGGTCGGTAAAACAAATCTGCTTCTTCATGTCTTGTTGGTTATGTACTGGTGGTACGAAGTGCAGTCAGTATCACCGTTCGGCTTACAACTAACCCCTAAAGCGGCGACGTCCGAATGAGGCAAGAGAATTACCTAAGTAGGACTTAATTGAATCTGACGCGTGGGAGTCGCGCCTTGACGCGTCGTTTACCGCGCACCAGCACCGACACCGCCAGGGATTCTTTCTCCCTTTGCTCCTCTCCCACCACTGTAAGGAAGTGTCTGTCATCCCAGCAACTTCTGTGGACATAGCAAATTCAGTCTGTTTCCTTCATATTTGAGCGCCAGGCTGAATATTACACAAAATGAGGTATGTACTCTAACCTGCTCATTACCCTAGTTGGCTGAAGAGCACTCGGCTTTTGCTTTTCTCTCAGAGGTCTAATCGTTTCCATGATGCAGTTCACCACTTCGACCCAGCACATCTGCTGCCAATCGCGGCTTGGGAAGATTGAACCGACGTAAAAGATCCAGAGAGCCTGATGACGAAGTGTCATCCGTTGCTCCTCCCTCAAGTCGTAAGTTTTCATCGCATTGAAAATCAGAAGTGAATTTGTAGATGGGCTGATGTTTCATAGCTCCTCCCTCCTCTCCGCCTATGCTCCCCTTTGATGATGATGACAACGAAAGAGACGAAGAAGCAGAGCTACTGGGGGACATTGACGATATTGATGAGATGGCTGAGGATGAAGATGGAATCGACCTGTTCGGGGACAACTTCGAAAGAGATTACCGAGAGGCTGGAAACGACCGTTATCAAGGCGAATACATTGACGATGATGGAGACCATGAAGAACTTGACATTGCAACTCGTCGGCAGCTGGACGCTCGCCTAAATCGAAGAGATCGCGAGCTCGAGCGTCGCCGCCGCATGCCCGCGGCTTTCTTGCAAGATGATGACGAGGGTGATATGGACCTCACTCGCCAGCCTCGGCGGCGAAGACACCACTACGATGAGGACCGCGAGGACATCGAAATGGGCGACGACGCCATGGAAGAGCTCTCCCTGGAGGAGTTAGCTGATGTAAAGGCGGCCAACATCACTGATTGGGTGCTGCAGCCACAAGTTCTGCGCTCGATATATCGAGAATTCAAAGCTTTCCTCACAGAGTTCACCGATCAAGCCGGTCAGTCAGTCTACGGACACAAGATCAAAACTCTTGGTGAGGTGAACTCTGCATCACTTGAGGTCTCCTATGTTCACTTGAGTTCCACAAAGGCCGCTCTTTCTTACTTCCTTGCGAATGAACCAACCGAGGTCCTCAAGGTCTTTGACCAAGTTGCTCTTGATGTCACACTCTTCCACTACCCTCAATATCAAGATATCCACAAGGAGATCCACGTCCGAATCTCGGATCTTCCGATCGTCTACACCTTACGGCAGCTGCGCCAGCAACATCTGAACTGCCTTGTTCGTGTCAGTGGCGTTGTCACCCGCCGGAGCGGCGTCTTCCCGCAAATGAAATATGTCATGTTCATTTGCCAGAAGTGTAATATCACATTGGGACCTTTCCAGCAGGAGGCGAGCGCGGAGGTCAAGATCTCCTACTGTCAAAACTGCCAGTCGAAGGGGCCGTTTACCATCAACTCCGAAAAGACTGTGTACCGGAACTACCAAAAGCTCACATTGCAAGAATCCCCAGGCTCTGTGCCCGCCGGACGACTGCCGCGTCAGCGTGAAGTCGTCTTACTTGCAGATCTCATCGATTCTGCCAAACCAGGTGACGAGATCGAGGTGACTGGTATCTACCGGAACAGCTACGACGCTCAGCTTAACAACAAGAACGGCTTCCCTGTCTTCGCCACGATCATCGAGGCGAACCATATCGTGAAGTCGCACGACCAGCTGGCTGGTTTCCACTTAACCGAAGAAGATGAGCGCGAGATTCGTGCCTTGTCAAGGGACCCCGATATTGTTGATAAGATCGTGCGATCCATCGCGCCTAGCATTTATGGGCATCAGGACGTGAAGACCGCTGTTGCCCTCTCACTTTTCGGTGGCGTGAGCAAGGAGGCCCAAGGAAAGATGGCCATCCGTGGAGACATCAACGTGCTCCTTCTTGGTGACCCCGGTACAGCTAAATCGCAGGTGCTGAAGTTCGTTGAAAAGACTGCCCACCGAGCGGTCTTTGCAACCGGTCAAGGTGCCAGTGCTGTCGGTCTTACAGCCAGCGTGCGTCGCGATCCTTTGACCAGTGAATGGACCCTGGAAGGAGGAGCTCTGGTGCTTGCCGATCGGGGCACATGCCTGATCGATGAGTTCGATAAGATGAACGATCAGGACCGGACTTCGATCCACGAAGCCATGGAACAGCAGACAATTTCTATCTCCAAGGCTGGTATCGTTACCACTTTGCAAGCCCGCTGTGCTGTGGTGGCAGCCGCCAACCCTATCGGTGGACGCTACAACAGCACAATTCCGTTCTCCCAGAACGTCGAGCTCACAGAGCCCATTCTTTCGCGTTTCGATATTCTCTGCGTCGTGCGGGACCTTGTCGACCCAAATGAAGACGAGCGTCTGGCCAACTTCGTCGTCGAGTCTCACCACCGAGCAAACCCCACCCGGCCTCTCAGGGACCAGGATGGCAACTTGATCGATTCGGAGGGCAACCGGATCGATGAGGAAGGTTATCGCCTGGATAAGCACGGCAACCGCCTACCACCCACTCCCGAAGAGATTGCCAAGCGTGAGGCAGCCCAACGCAAGGCAGAAGAAGAGAAGGAGGGCGAGATTCCCCAGGAGCTCCTGCGGAAGTACATCCTGTACGCGCGAGAGAGATGCCACCCAAAGCTCTACCAGATCGATCAGGACAAGGTCGCGCGGCTCTTCGCTGACATGAGACGCGAGTCTCTGGCCACTGGTGCCTACCCCATCACTGTAAGTGGTTTTTAACATGTCTTCTTTCCGTCTATCGTGCTAACCACAACCAGGTCCGTCACCTGGAAGCCATCATGCGTATCGCCGAAGCCTTCTGCAAGATGCGTCTGTCTGAGTACTGCTCCGCCCAGGACATCGACCGCGCCATCGCCGTAACGGTCGAGTCCTTCATCGGCAGCCAGAAGATCAGCTGCAAGAAGGCCCTCTCCAGGGCATTCGCCAAGTAAGTCCTTTTCCTCGCGGCTCCTCCCCTTTCTTCATCAAAGCCAGTGGATCTAACCCCGACGAAAATAGATACACACTCTCCCGACCCAAACCCCAGTCCAAGCGGCGAGCCGGTATTCCCGCTCCAAACCCCTACGCTCTTCGCCCGAGTCAAGCCACAAGGGCGTAGGTATAGGGATAGCTAATCGTGCTCGTGCGTATGCTCACCCTCATGATGATCACGTCTTTTCCTCACTTCGATTTCATTTATTTTCATTCTCCGTCACGATCACCACATTGCATAATGCTCGCTTCGCTTCGCTCATGCTTCTTCGGCAAGTCACATGCTCTATTTGTCGTCTGAAGCTGGATAATACGCATGGGCTTTATTTTCAACAGGATTGGGTTGGTTTATGGAATGGTTTCGGTGTGGGCGTTTTGTCCTGTGTATATTTCCAATGCTTGTTATCAAAATCTGATATAGAAATAAGTTTTCGTGTCTATCTAGGTTATTTCAGGGGTTTAATTTAAGTCTGGATGATAACGAGTAAAACGCCTATACTATGTTGATCTTGCAGAACAAAGTAGTGACTTGAATACAGACACAAGGTACCTATCAATGCACGCTGTATGAGGTATGATTGAATCTAGTGAAATGACATGACCCTCGTGATAGAGCGATACTCGTGAAGAAGCTAGAGTGTGAAACAGAAAGGTGAGAGCCTGTCCGGGCAATGCAGCATCGCATATCCGGTCCCCAATCCCAACAAACGCCACTCCTTTTGCACCCCACGCAGGCTTCTACTGAGCAGAATGACCGGCTCACCGTTCACAAGATTGTACAGATCGTATCCCCATATTGGTGGTAGAAAGCCTCAGCATAATGTTCAGAGGTATAATGCCATGGCATGTCAACATGCCAAGCGGCGTCCCCGCTACAATGCGGTACAAACATGTCCGAATATCATCGGCATCACGGCAAGTAAGAGCTTTATGATGGTCGCATACTATAAATAGTATCAGTATGGAGGACATCCCGGCGAGTCCGGCACATATGCGTCCCAGTGTCCTTCAATCCGCTGCTTCCCGATCGGATTCGTCGGATCGACACAGCCCCCGGGGCAAAAAGTAGGTCAAGGCAAATTTTTCGAGGAGCCGGTTCGAGGTCAGACAACTCAGTCATTGCTGACCCGCCGCTCGGGCCGGGGCTTCCGCAAACTCTTCATTCTGTTGATGAAGCCGCCGCCGCCGCCGCTCTTCCCATCTTCAACCCCGGTATTCGAGCGTTCATTGGTGAAGTTTCGTTCCAGGTTGGTGCTCTGTTTGGGGCTGCTGGAAGACCGTGCACGGCCACCTTCAATGCCTGAGCGCGATTCCTCGGCGGTGTTGATCCGAGCGCCTTTCTTCTCCCAAGCGTCATCATAATCTTGGAAGAATGGGTTCTTCTCGTTGGCACGAAGCGACCCAGAGTGGCTGGAGCTGAGTGGAGCATTATAGGAGGCTTCGGGGGACACCATCCGTCCACCTTGCGGCTTGTTGATGCCTCGTAATCTTTGAGCAAGACTCTTCTTTCGCTGAAGGCCTCCATTCTGGGAAAACTGGTTCTCATTCTCGCTCGCGCGAC